AACAGCTTACCAAACAGCTTTAGTTTAATTTTAAAAACTATTATTTTTTATAAGAGCTTATAATAGCTTTTAAATTAAAAAGAAAAAAAACCAAACAGGCTCATATACTCTTTTTCTTTTATTCAAATTTTTTTCTTATATCCTTAATATAATAGATATTCAAAGGAAAGTATTATGAATATTTTTGTGAATATCTATTTATATTATATATAACTAGATTTGAATATATATTAGATTGAATTTAGATTAAAATTTAATCCACATGTCTAATCTTTTAATGTTATCTTTAACTCATAAATTCTATTTAAATAAGGAGTTATTAGCCTAGAAATATTTTTATTTCTATTTATTTTATAGTTGTTGTTTCAAATTATATTTTATAATAGAAATATTTTTATTCCTTAATAACTATATATATATATAAAGACCTAGCATTTGTTTCTTTTCTTAATTGAAATAGTACAATATACATCTAATAAGACTTGACCAAATTTCTTGGAAGGATTTTGAAAGTAAAAAGTAACAAAGATTTCGTCATAGCTGACATAACTTTTACTAAAACAAATGGGGCTCCTATCCTCGGTGGCTTGGTGCAATTGCTTGAGTATGACCAAAAGAGTAGGCAAGCAAGTGTAATAATTTATAAAACCTCCCTTTATAAGGCTTTGAATATGAATTGTTCATGGAAAATATGCCATCTTTCCCCTCTAAAACGGCCTGCCAATTTTTTTTTTTTTTAAAATTATTTTACAATTGATTAAAGTAGTTGTCAGAAAAGCGACCTTGATGAGGACAGATGCATATACTGATGCATTACTGTTGTTTTTTTGGTTGAATTCGTTACATTAGATGACTGCCGGTGCACGCTCAACCCTTTGAGAATTTCGTACCGTTTACAGCATTTCTTCTTACTTCCTTCCCACGTTAAGAGTGTTTTTTTTCATACTATGGCCAGCAGAGACCACAATGTTGACTGATTTTAATATCAGCTTTTATTACAAAAGGAGGCCTTTTTCAACAGAATTACTACCTCATAAGAGATTTTGACAGGAATTTGGAGACAAAGGAAAGGTTGTAGCTCTCAATTTCTTGGAAGATTTTTGGAAAGTGTTCGACACACTATAGTCGTATATACCCTTTGATTCCTTGATTTTCTTTGGAAAGATTCTACCTGGTGTGGTTTGAATCTATAATAAAATTTGATATTAAAGGAGTAAAGAATGACCATTCCTGGTCATAGCTAGCCTATATATAAATGTTACGTACATGCTGCAGCCTGCAGGTGTAGTCTTGCTAATATTACTACACGTAATCAGACTCAGAGAATTTCAATTTGCAGCAGGGTGCAGTATTCTACTGCCCTGTCTTGTAGCTATGGTGAAACTGACAAGAGAATTTGTGAACCAAAGAAAGAAGCAGGAGGGAGAAAGAAAGAAGAAACTGAAACAGGAGGTGAGAGGAAAAGGAAAAATAGAGAAACACATAGAAAAACAGTTGCATAAGCTAAGCCTTGCTCCAATAACAAGGACAAGAATTCCTGGTTTCCTGATTGATGGGGAGGAAAAGGAAAACTATGGAAGTTCGGCTTCCATGGACCCTGATTTGTACACAGCTGCGATGGAAGGCAGAATCCTGGAACTGGTAGAAGCTGTGGAGAAAGGACCCGCTGATAGACAAAGTGACCGTGTTGTGCCAGCAAGCTGTATTCAAGTAAGGCCCCAAAAGAATACAATGCTTCACATAGCAACAAGCTATAGACATCATGAGATTGTTAATCTCATCTGCAAGGATTTGCCCTTCTTCATTCAGGAGAAGAACTATAGGGGTGACACCGCGCTCCACATAGCAGCAAGAATTGGTGATCCGTTGCTAGTCCGTCTGATAGTTGACTCCATAAGAGGTTCTTCCCGCGAATCTATTTTTGGTTAAAAAAATGAGGATGGAAACACTGCCTTGCATGAAGCCTTGCTAGCTCATCATGAAAAGATGGCTCGGATCCTGATTGACAAAAATAGGGAAATGTAGTATAGTGCCAACAAGGAAGGCAAATCTCTATTATATCTTGCTGCTGCCGCAGGGTATGCAGATATTGTTAGGCTTATAATGGAAAATCCATTAGGGAACTACAATGAACAACAAAGACTGCAAAATGAATCACCAGTACACGCTGGCATTCATGGGAGGAACATTGGTAATTTATTTCATGTACAATTTAGAGTTAGTGTAGGGATAATTAACATTTAATTTCTCTCTTTTGATGTTCTTATGTCATTTACTTGTTACAAGACATTCACCTTTTCTCTTTGACCATACATTAGCAATTTCAGTGACAGTTGAAATAAATCCTCTGCCTCAGATCATAGCTCCTTGTACATGTTAATTAGCCCTGCTAAGCTTTTCCTTTGGAATAGCAGATGTCCTCAAAATAATGTGGGAAAAGGACCAATCTTCTTTTCATTTAAGATGTGAACAAGGAAGGAATCCGCTTCACTGTGCTGCATCCATAGGCTATCTTGAAGGGGTCAATTTCCTGCTTCAGATGTTCCGTGGTGCTGCATACCAAAGGGATCGGAATGGTTTCTTCCCTATTCACGTAGCTTCTGATGAAGGCTATATCAGGGTAGTCCAAGAGTTTCTATGGCACTGTCCGGATTCAAGGGAGCTTCTTAACAGGCAAGGTCAAACTATACTTCACCTTGCTGCAAAAAGAGGAAGAATTCATTTGGTGAATTACATACTCAAAGTGCCCACGCTACAGAATCTTATAAATGAGAGAGATGAAAATGGAAACACGCCTTTACTTTTAGCTACTATTTACCAGCATCCCAAGGTTGTAAGCGTCCTTACATGGGACCGCAGAGTTAATCCACTGCTGATGAACGAGGACGGATTGACAGCGCTGGATATTGCTCAAGAATACAACACAGACACACAAATGATGGCTTCATTTCCCAAGGCATGTGACTGCAGGAAGTAGATTTTTGTATTTCTATCCGAGCCATTGGCCCGCCACAAGCAGTGGAAAGTTCGAGCTTGTGGACATGCCCAATTATGAATTTAGTGCTTATTAGACTTTTATAATTTCCCAAGTAATTATCTATAACCACTAGCATCAGTCAACTGTTCACATATAAATTATCTTTACAGCAACTTTGTGATTGAAAACAAAGAAAGGAAGTTACGGTGCGTAAATGTGCGGCCATTATTTCAAATGCAATGTTAAAATGGTCAGAGTGAGAACACTTCCAATTAATACGGTAGATGCTTTTTATAGCTATTGGTCATTAGCTTGGATCCGGATCCTAGGAAGGTAACCTGGAAAAGTGGACCTAGTCAACAAAAAGAGCTGATGATTTTATGTGGTTCCCGTATTTTGAAAGGTAACCTATTCTGTTGGTGCATATGTAATCTTGTTCTTGTATTGTGCAGCGATTGACATGGCTAGCCTTAAGACTAACCTGTGCAGAACGCTCCCAGCCAACAGCCTCAAGAAACAGAAGACAAAGATCAGTTGAAGGAGACTGTTCCAAATTTGAAAGTTACAAGGAGAACGTCAACGTAGTATTATTAGTCTCAACACTGGTTGCAACAGTGACATTTTCAGCTGGTTTCACAATCCCTGGTGGTGACAACAACTCTAGTCCTGACGAAGCTTCTGCAATCATGCTAAGGGACAGGATGTTCTATCTGTTTGTCATCTGCAACACAATCGCTATGTATAGCTCCGTCATCATTGATGTTACACTCATTTGGGCCCGGTTAATTGATCTCAGTTTGGTATTCTTTGCTCTAAAATTGGCAGTTCCTCTCCTAGGAGTTGCATTTACAATGATGTCCATAGCATTCATGGCAGGTTTAAACTTGGTGGTAAGCAAGCTTAGTTGGCTTGCCTCTGTTGTGCTTTTCTTGTGGTTGATTTTTCTTGTCATGCTCGCAGCAATCTTTATTCCACTATGTTGCTCAGCTAACTGCTACATTCTGCGTCACATTTCTTAGTATTCCTTCCGCTTGATGTTGTACACGCTTGGAAGCCACGAGGAGGATGACTCAAAGGAATAGCTTTCAGCCATCTTTAATAACATTAATGTTGATGAGTGGAAATAAACATCTTATACGGTTATGTTTAATGCACATTAAACATTTGCTGATATACATTGTAATACAAGCCTCATATACTCCAGGGTGAAAGTATTGTACCTTCTACATAGATAATTGAACACTTAGGTGTGTTTGCATGAGCCAAACTCTTAAAACTCCATGTAAAAAATAAGCTTTAATCTATTGAAGGGATTGGATTTTTCTTTGATGTCAAGCACGAACTGATACTCGCAGGAAAAAGACACCAGAGTATATAGGAAGGAATGAGTTTCTATGAGGTCAACTTGAACAGTAGAAAAATGGTTTACAACCGAACTAGAGATTTGACCAAAAATGAGAGAGAAAGACCTAGATAAGTAATGAAACTAAGAAACAATAAAGGGAAACCAGTAAGCTGTCTCCTCTCCCCCCTTCTTTTTCTTGTGTGTCAGCTGCTATTTATTCATGAGCAAACCAAGACGGCAATGGTACTCTTTGTTTGTTCTACAGATGGCTAGCTGTTTGTCATACACATACAGATTCTTTCAGATGGTTTGGTCCAAGCACATGACAAATGCTGCAGTACGAGGGGGACCAAACTTCCCTGTTCCCTCTAATTTCCACGGCGTGAGATAGCTTTTTGTAAAGCATGGAACACAATCATACCAAATATACAGTTAATTTCATTAATGTTAAAAAAAGGAGAAGAAAGTAAATAAAATAATGAAAGAGACTAGGAGTTCATTCATATGATTTTTGCAAATATATTCAAGTAATTAACCCATCAATTCAAGAATCAATGCATGTTCTAGGATTTGAACTGAAAACATTCGCATTCCATACCCCAGTACTCCAGAAAGAAACTGAAAAATGAATGACTGTCATGTATACGCTGGAGAAATTTGAGGCTGTAAACAAACAAGTAAATTTAAAAGTGAAAAACAACAGCTCGTCATTCATTCTTTTTATACATAGAACAAACAGAAGCAGGGATAACTATTAAATAGCCCTTTAACAAAGAGCTTGCCTCGTTTTTGAACTCCTAATCTAAGTCAAATTAACAAAAATCAAACAATGTATTAGATGGAAGATGAGGATAACTTTCCTAAATTCCATCAACCAGGAAAACTTCCAAAACCCGATTTCTTCCAAGTATCCACAAAGTGAAATCTCTCCAGCTAAATAAGGTCTCACTAACTTAAACAATTCAACTTAATCACTCGCCAGAATTCTTCTTGACAAGTGCAAAGTACCCCAAAACGGCACAAACAGCAGCTACAAGATTCCCTTCCTTCAACAAAATCTTGAACACAAACCCAGCGATCTCTCTTGTAATCTTCCTGCCTTCAAGCACCAAGGTCCTCTTTGGTTTCCCAAAGAAAGCCAGCAGAACCACAATAGTGATCCAGGTCACCAAAGTGGCCGGGACAGCCACAGCCAGAGCTGCAACCATAGAAAGCAGCCCAAAAACCGCACCAAGAAGAACAGAGGCATAGAGGGCAGGCCACCCAGAAGAAGCAGAAGATGGTTGGGCTTGACGTTTGTACCAAGAAAGTATTGATTTAAGGGAATTCCATGAAGAAGCTAAAAGGATTGCATAAACTAGCACAAAGAGAAACACCCATGTTCTCCTTTTGCTCATAACTTTCAGAAATAACTTGTATGATGATGGCAAAGGAGGTGTTGTTGATGTAGGAGAAGCGGGTAGTGCTTCTTGTTCTCCCTCCATGTTTTTTCTGTCTATTTGAAGTGGCTTGGTTCTCTCACCTTCTCTCTCCGCGCTTGGATTTCCTGTGCTTGTTTTGGTTTTCAGTTTGTTTTTGGGCCTCTGGGATTGAATCTCGGTGAGTTTTGGGTACCTCTCTGTCCGAGAGGCTGAGATGATATGATGAAAAAGTAGATACCATTAGATAAAAGAAGTTAACGGGGAATACCAAGCGCAATTGGTAGCAAGGGAACACTACTTAAGCACCTTGGCAGCATCTGATTGGGTCGTGTTTGCACGCGCCTGGGAGATGCTGCTATTAGGTATTATGCTTGAAGTAAACCTATGTCTTTGTCGAGAACGACAGTGGGGCTCTTGAAGCTCCATAATTGATGGGCTTTTTGGGCACGAGGAATTGAATTTGGACTGGAAACCTTCCACGGGCATTTTGGGGCGTCAATTACTTCTCCGGCTGAAGCTTGCAATAACTGGTTTCTTCTTGGGGTTGCCAAGCTCTTGCTTTACACCTTGCGGAATCTTTCTCAGCTTCTTAGAAGCCCAGCAACCTAATAACTTTTCCCTTTCAGAGTTATTCTTCCTGACTAGGGAGATTGAGGAAAAGCGATAAAAGAGGGGTCCAGCCAGAAACTTAGGTACTACTCCATAGTCCATGTCAACAACATAAAATGGAAAAATAGGTTACGATGCGTATTTAATATCACCAGAAAATTCATTATATCTTGCTGTGGCTAGTACAAATTGTAGATGAGAGTTTAGTAGGATGATTGACTGCTTTTGAGGTGTGCTTTTCGTCCAGCGAGTTAATGTGCTTAAGATGTTGTGCTGCATCATTCAAAGGCATTCCATAATGGATCAACCAACACATGGCACTTTGGTTAGCACCTTTAATATTATTTTTGAAGTGTTATGCTACAAAAAAATTACATAAGAGTCGAAGGATTAAGAAATGTTTCAAGCACAAAAGTGTCTAAGGTTACGATCTACATGAACTCTTGTAAGGTATTATCTATTTTGATCTGTTGGATAAAAGATGTCTTACAGTTTGAAGGTGGTATAAACCTTTATATGCCTAGTATCACTTTACTATATAGTGATGTGAAATGCATGGCTCTCTTTGTAATTATATTTATTAGGAGCAATATTTCGACGATGTGGGATTCACATATAAGCGAGGACTGTGGTATCCTCTTCCACTTCAACAAGGGCCCACTGTCCGCAAAGTCTGCTCTAAGGTAGTGTTTGGCATGAGAGAAGTAAGAACACATTTTCTGTAATGTGTCAAATTAAATTATATTACAATATTTGTTTTGCAACATACTATTGCAATGCAATCACATTACAACCAAGAGATGTAATGTGATTGCAGTCCAAAATCAATACAATCACATTGTATTACACTCTATAATGTTATTAAAGATATTTTTACTCTTCAACTTTATTACTTTGTTAAAAATATTTTGTAATGCTATAATTAAAATAAAAATATTAAAATAAAATATATAATATAAAAATTAGAAATTAAAATAAAATAAAATATAAGAAATTAAAATTATATAATATAAGTAAAAGATATTAAAATAAAATATATAATATAAAAAATTATATTAAAAAATAAAAATAAAATATATAAAATTATAATAAGAAATGAAACTAAAATATATAGCATTAAAAATATATTTAAGGGATGATATTATATAAAAATTAATAATAAAAAATATAAGTATATTAAACTTGCATTTTAATAACTAAAGGTAATTTTGAAAACTGTGAGGCTAGTAGGCTAAAGCGCACAATACCTTACAAGGGTTGGTGTGGACCATGACATTCTCCTTTATTCCCCACTAGGAGTTTCTCTTCAATGTGGGACTTTGTGACCTTAGTTGTTGGGAACATTATCTCAACAATGTGAGATTCACATTCAAGCGAGGACTGTGACACCCAAGAGCGTTCTATTTGCAAAATCACTCAAAAGGCATTATGAGCGATTTATGAGCATAAAAGCACCCAAGAGCTTTCCGAGAGTCGGAACACCGAAGCTTTTAGGAGCATTCCTAGCACAGAAGCACCCAAGAGCATTACAATGGCGAAAACACCCCAAAATAAGCATTGAACAGCAATTTGTACGAGGAAGTTAAAGTAATTTAGAACAAGAGGTAGGGTTCATGAGTTACCTTCACATTTGGAATGTTCTAAAAAGCTTAGCTTGGTGGTTTAGATATAAAAATAGTTAAAAGAACTTCCTCTTAACTTTTCCTTGAAGTATAAGTGCTTAACATTTTTTTCTTTCTTTGCTCCTTAAGAATACATGTGACGCACTATCAAGTGTTACTACTCCATTACCCAAAATTTATACCCACTATCCAACCACATAGTCATTCTTTTAATATTTTATAAACTATTTTTTAATTATTCTTTCATAACAAGCAGATTCTCCCGTGATTGAATGTGTTCTCTTAACTACTCCTAAGAAAGTGCTTTTATTCAGTATAAATATAAAAGCCTTGAATGTTAAAAGGCAATCACAAATCGTTAGAAACCTAGCAAATATTATCTTGAAAACTTTCTTGAGACTCCTTTAAATATTTTTTCTATTCACCCTTTTCCATTTGTCACAATCCATCACTTCCTCCACCTTTTCTTATCCCTCGTCACTTGCCACCAAAGCACTTATGCTTCAAGGACTGCTCGAGTCTTCCTCTTTGTACCTTCTAACTATTTCTAATTCACTCATTGCAACAAATCCTCTTTCTACTTAAAGAACCCTTTACATTTTGACGATTCTACTAAGGAAGATGATTGTAGTAAGTGAAAAATTAACTAAAAATTTTTATGAAAAGATATGGAGAGTTCTCCCAACAACCAAGAAACACCCATTCCCACTTATGTCCAAGAGCTCATGAAAATGCTCAAAGCTTTCCATGAAAAAATGCAAGTGTTGGAGGAAAACAATAAGCAAATGATGGAGACCATTATCCAGTTTGCGTCCATAACTACCAGAACCTCTCAATCTCTACCTATGCCAATAGAAAATGCCGCTAACGTGATCAATAACAACAAACATGGAGGAAATGGAGAAAGCACGATTAACCCACTCTTTTATACCACCAATCCCTCTATTGTAGGTAATCCCGTTACAGTAACTCCTTCCACTAGTGTTGAGAGTTTTGTCATAAAAGAGGAGTTGGAGAAGTTGCTTGATCAGAAGAACAAGAGTCTCAACTTCTCAAAGTTTGACTTGAAACTACCTTATCTTTCTAAGGTAGCTGCTAAGCCATACCTTAAAGATTACACTAGCTTAAAATTCAAATAATTCAATGGCAAGACTGGTGATGCTCAAGAATATGTCATGAAGATTGTAGAAACCTTGGGAATTAGAAGCTTGGAAGACGATTTAAAGTTAAATGAGTTCTTTAAGTCCCTTATTGAGAAAGCATACATCTGGTATGTTAATCTCACTCTAGGCTTAGTTGACTTTTGGAACCAGATGTGTAGGATATTTGAAGAAAAATTCTTTTCTACCTAAAAGAAAGTGACTTTTATTAACTTGGGGAGAGAACATCATAAGGTAAGAAAAGATCTTATAGAGTACATCTAGCAATTTAGAGAACGCGTATTAGATATAAAAGATTCTCATGATGAAAAAAAGCTGGTAAAAGTATGCATCCAAGGTATGTTCGATAAAATATAGGGTGCATTTGGGTAACTTACCTTTTCATACTTTTACCATTTTAATTGAAACTATACGACGGACCAATAATACGATCTTTAGGCAAAAAAGAGCCCATTGTTTCAGTAAGAGGAACATCATTACTGTGAATGCAATTCAAGGGTGAGGTAAAGAAAAAAGAGGCCCTCGAGAGAACCTAAGCCAAAATGGGACAACTTTAAGAAAAGACAAGATTAAGAGATCGTTACACCCTTTCCATTTTTAGCTCCACTAGACAGAGTAAGGGCACTCCTTCAAGAATGAATTAAAGATGGACAAATAAATTTTCTTTACGTATCGAGTCCACCACCATTAGAAGAGAAGTCCAATCTATGGTATTACGATCACCATCGCATGGTGGGTCATCCATTTGCTGAATGTAGGAACATATGTAAGATATTTCACAAAAGAACACAAACAAGAAATGTCTTGATTGGAAATAACAAAATTCAAAATAATCCATTCCCTACTCATCAAAATGCTTGAGGACATGTAAGTGCAGTGATCAGTATTCAAGAAAAATCTACCCCTTTTTCCAGTCAAGAAGAAAATACGCGTGCAACTGCTATGGTTACCTCTTCTATTGCCCACTCACTCATGAAGACACCTAGATGTAGACACTTATTTGATCAACTTGGCTTCTCAAAAGAATCAAGGAAAAAGGTAACCATAATGTTAGTACAAATAGCTAGTTTGTAGAATGGGGAATACAGCTTAGTAGGACAACTTGTGAAGAAGATGGCATGTGGATATGATAACGACATAGTATTCATAAAAGCAGTCATGTGTACATTACATCCTATCACAACAAGCACTCTATGTGGATAGCAATGTCAATAGATACCCACTGTGAAGGATATTCATTGATGACAGTTCCTCGGTAAACCTTATGCCACTATCTACTCTAAAGGCTATGAATATAGATTTAAGGTGTTTGCTTCATCCTATGACCATTGCTTCCTTCGATAATAAAAAGATTAAAACTATGGGACAAGTCATGGGGAATTTCAAGATAAGACCTATTCAAAATTAGATTTACTTCCATGTTATTGAAGCTTATGTGGCTTATCATCTCCTCATAAGAAAGAAGCACCCAGAGGTGTTCTAAGCTTAAAAGCGCCTAGCGGCATTCTAAATGAGGAAGCATCTAGGGCATTTCAAGTGTGGAAACACTCAAGAGTGTTCCAAGCGTGGAAGTGCCCAAGAGCATTCCCAGTGCGAAAGAGCCCAAAGGCATTACCAACGCAGAAACATCGAGGAACAAGCATGAAATAGCTATTTGCACTGAGAAGTGAAAGTAACTCAAAATAAGTGGTAGGGTTCATAAGTTTTCTTTACATTTGGGTTAGGAACTTGGTTTGGTGGCTCAGATATAGAGATAGTAAGAGGGCTTCCTCTTAACCTTTCCTTGAAGCACATGTGCTTTACCCCTTTTCTTTCTTTGCTCCTTAAGCATACACGTGGTGCACTATTAAGTGTTACTACT